GGCTGGCTGAGGAGCGCTGACCCTTCACAAAGACTTTTCACCAGCAGCGAGCGAGAGATCACAGAGAGAAAGCCAAGCTCATGTGGGAGGGGAGAGGACTGTGGGTGTATTCGTACCAGTCTTACTCTTCTGTGTGTATATGTACAGCTTAGGTGTTTGTTTGGATGTTTGCATGTGCTTTTAAGTGCCTGCGTCTGTATTAATGCAAAGTTTTGCTGCACACAAATTGGCCGACACATCGCCTCAGATCATCTCCTTGTTGAATCCAGCTCTAATAGCATGTGTGAACCAGCACAGGGCAGCCATATGTCTCCTCCTCCTCCTCCTCTGCTGTTTAACACTAAGCTGCATCGCTGACAGATGGTCCAGCTGCTTTTAGCATGCCCATATTATTTTATTATGTAACGTGTAAACTGCAGAATGACTTCCAAGTCCTTCATCTTTAAAAAAATAAAATCACACAAATGATCTCTGAGCGAACAGAAATGTAATTACTGTATATGTGGAAAAACCTCCTCGTTTCATTCATTACTGTCACCGGATTTTTCTTCACATATTTTTTTTTTCTCCTCATTTTATGCACAACGGGAGGCAGAGAAATGCTCCCTCTGTATTTAGGTTCACACCATTCTTTCAAAATGCTTTTCCTCTCAGTCAAAAAGATTGAGAAAGCGTATTAAATCTAATCTATCGAGAGGTGCGCGAATGGGGGGAAAAAAAAATTGTGAAAATGTAATGATTCTTCTGAGCATCACACTGATTTGGACGGAGCCGAGATGTAACCGGGTCTCATTAGAAACAGACTGAAACATGATGGATGGGATTTCTACAGTAGCAGTAAAATACTCTGTAGTTTATTGCATCCTGGACTTTTATTTTTTTCCCCCAGCGTGATGAACTCGATACCTTTCCAGCACTAGCAGGTGACTTCCTCGACTCGCTCTCAGCGGTTCTCAACGAGGCTTTTACGCATTAGGCACCGAAAAAAAAAAACTACCTCTTGTATTATTTGGAGGAGCGCTCCGAGCACTTAAAAGGTGGAGTACAACGGTTCTAATCCAATACGCTTTTTGTAAAATTCAGCACATTTCTCCTCACGCTACGCTACCTGTCTGCTCTCTGTGTGTGCTGGAAAAATAAAAAAAATAAAAGATGTGGTGTTGGTGAGCAGCCCTGCCTCTGGAAGCTGAAAATGGGAAACAAACACAGCAGCTCGGTCCAATTCACACATCAGTATGTTCGGTGTGAACAGGACAGAGATGGGGGACGAAAGGGGGTCGGCGGGAGGAAGAGGGAAGGGAAATCTGGTGCATGTCAGCTATCTAGATAAGCCACAGGAGCTAAATATCAACTCTAGAATCACAGAATCCACCTTTAAAGGCAAAGAATGAGCAAATCTGACACATCTGGATCTATTATCACGACATTAAATCAAGCCTAAAGCAACAGGAAGTTATGGTCTTATAATTATAGGATTCAGATTTGTATGTCTGCTGCTGTGTTTTTTCTTCACTCGATCACCTGAGCCGCTATTGTTTACCGTGATGAACATGAGGAGATACAGGAAGCAACTCATAACTTATTATGCGGTTGCCGAGCAACAGCAAGATGCCTCCCGCTGCCACAACCACACATAAGTGATTAAGATAAGAACCCGCTCCGTCCGTCGACTCCGTGGTCTTATCCGGACGAAGCAACCTTTAGCTTTGGGCGTTATTACAGACTGCTGAATGGATCGAAGTCGCTCCTTGCGACCCCCGAGGGTGCGTATTTATAACCCCTACCTCCAGGACAGGTGCCTCTTATTCCATTTGTTCTGAGGGCTGGAGCTTCGTTTCCTGCGCCCCGTCGTCCCCTCGGCCTCGGACACATCTGGCAGGGAACATCTGGGGGTTTTCATTAGGCCCAGGGTGGCTTGGTCTGCAGGAGAGGGGAGGTGATTGTGATGCAAACTAATGGAAATGCATGCCACGACTTTAATATTCACTACCAAGGCAAGAATTTGCTAAAACACGAAGGCGGATTGATGCAAAGTGCCCGTTTCAACCGCGATTTAACATCTGCTCGTAACTGACCGCCTCAGCGTCTCAGGTTACGAGAAGACATTCGGGCCATAAATCATAAATCATGCAAGATCCCATCTTACATGATGCCCTCATTTTGGGGCCATGCATTACACCTGCACACACCACTAGCATTGTTCCCATGTGGTTTTTTTTGCAGTCATACATGTGAGAAGGAGTTTGTGTAATGAAGAGTAATGCTGTTTATAGAGGAGGCATGTGTGAGTGATAGTCGGCGTGTACGTTGGACTACAACGTACTAGAGCGAGAGAATAGTGGAATAATCAATACACTGTTCTGTTTCGCACATACGAGGCTCATCAATCACGTACAGTAGGCACATAGCAGCACTGTCACTGCTGCCGTGTGTGTGTGTGTCTGAGATGGCAAGTGTGATTTATTTGTACAAGGTGTCTGGTAGCAGCCGTGCAATCTAGCAACACATAAGAAGTGCAGTAAGTATTACTTTTCTAATGTTCAGGGGTTGTCGTGTCACAGCGATATCGATTCAATTTCCATACTTTTTGTTTGTTTGTTTGTAGGATTGCATTATGTTTTTAGTTTTTTGTTCCCCCCCCAGGTGCTCCCGTAGCAACACAAACAAGACGTACCGAAGACTCCGGTCTCCTTCAGCCCTCCGAACTTCTGCATGGCTTTGATGGCCTTGGTGAGGGCCTCCTTGGTCTGGAGCTGGCCAGT